TATATATATATATATTCTACTAAAACTTGCATGCAGCATGGATCTTACCTTGCCAATATTAGTGTTGTCCAGAGCTGCGTCCACCTCATCCAAGATGAAGAATGGAGCGGGGCGGAAGCTTACAGAAACATTTACAGACAAAAACAAAAGCATTATTCAAAAAAGCTGACGACAGCAGCAACAACTGCAGAGATTCAGAGGAGGTGTTTAGCTTCTGTAGAGGAGTGTTCCAGGAAAAATATTCAAAAATCAATTACTGGAATATGTCAAGAAAAGCCTGTAAATATCCAAACTTTTATATGTTTAGTTTCTTTGTTTCTGTTAATCCCAAGTTACACTTTTTTTTAACTGATAAACTATTGCAAATTGGAAAGATGTTTCAGGATGCCTCAACATTTGGGATATGACTGCATCTCCTTAAGTATGATTTAATCGCTATTATAGTTGTCTATCTATAAATTATGTTCAAAACAATTTTACTATAATTTTACGATTTTTCTCCATCATTTTTTTGAAGATGGGCATCGACACGGGATCATTTTAAACCTACCTACTTTAAATACTATTTTAGTGATAAAATCACCTGTGGATGGCAAACAGGAAGGCAAGCGCAGCGATAGCCTTTTCTCCACCTGACAGGTTGTCCATGGACATGAAGCGTTTCCCTGGAGCCACACAGTTGTAGTTGATGCCACCTAAATATGGCTCATCTGGATTCTCAGCACTGAGAATGGCCTGCAGGACATAAAAAAAGGCTATTAATATTTGTTTTACTTAAAATTGTCTTTTATTGTTAAAAATGTTTAGTGGGAATCAGGGGATTTAATGGAAGGAGTTTAGTGGAAATCCCTGATTCACTCCTCGGTGGCAGGGCGCCGGGGGTGGATGAGATTCACCCAGAGTTCCTTAAGGCTCTGGATGTTGTGGGGTGGCGTTGGGTGACACGACTTTACAATATTGTGTGGACATCGGGGGCAATTCCCTCGGATTGGCAGACCGGGGTGTTGGTCCCCTTATTTATAGTGTAGTTTGCCATCATCAGTGTGTGAATGTGAGTGTGAATGGGTGAATGTCTGTTAGTGTAAAGCACTTTGTGGTCCGGAGGGACTTGAAAAGCGCTACATAAGTTCAGTCCATTTACCATTACCATATTGAAAAAGGGGGGCCATAGAGTGTGTTCCAACTATAGGGGGATCACACTTCTGAGCCTCCCTGGTTAGGTCTATTCAGGGGTCCTGGAGAGGAGAGTCCATCGTATAGTCTAATCTCAGATTCAGGAAGAGCAGCGTGTTTTTTGTCCTGGTCGTGGAACAGCAGACCAGCTCTGCACTCTCAACAGGGTCCTGGAGTGTGCATGAGAGTTTGCCCAACCAGTCTACATGTTTTGGAGAAGATGTTGAACCGTGTCCCTCAGGGACTCCTGTGGGGGGGGGGGTGCTCCCGGATTATGGGGTACCAGGCCCTTTGGTATGGGCTGTTAGGTCCCTGTACGACCAGTGCCAGAGCTTAGTCCGCATTGCCGGTAGTAAGTCAGACTTGGTTCCGGTGAGAGCTGGACTCTGCCAAGGTTGCACTTTGTCACAGATTCTGTTCGTAACGTTTGTGGACAGAATTTCTAGGTGCAGCCAAGGTGTTGCGGGGATCCTTTTTGGTGACCTTAGGATCACGTCTCTGCTTTTTGTGGATGATTTGGTCCTATTGGCTTTATCAGATCGTGATCTCCGGCTCTCACTGGAGCGGTTCGCAGCCGAATGTGAAGAGGCCGAGATGAGGATCAGTGTCTCTAAATACGAGACCATGGTCTTGAGCCAGAAAATGGTAGGGTGCCTTCTCTGGGTCGGGGAGGAGGTCCTGCCCCAAGTGGAGGAGTTTAAGTATCTCGGGGTCTTGTTCACGAATGAGTGAAGAATGGAGCAGGAGATCGACAGGTGGTTTGGKGCTGCATCTGCAGTGATGCGGACGTTGTACCGGTCTGTCGTGGTGAAGTGAGAGCTGAGCCAGAAGGTGAAGCTCTCGATTTACCAGTCGGCCTACGTTCCTACCCTCATCTGTGGTCACGAACTTTGGGTAGTGATCGAAAGAACGAGATAGCGGATACAAGCGGCCAAAAGAAGTTTCCTCTGCAGGGTGTCTGGGCTCTCCCTTAGAGATACGGTGAGAAGCTCAGTCATCCAGGAGGGACTCAAGAGTAGAGCCGTTGCTCCTCCACGTCGAGAGAAGTCAGTTGAGGTGGTTCATCTGGTTAGGATGCCTCCTGGACACCTCCCTGGTAAGGTGTTCCAGGCACGTCCCACTGGGAGGAGGCCCAGAGGAAGACCCAGGACACACTGGAGGAACCATGTTTCTCAGCTGGCCTGGGAACACCTTGGGATTCCCCCGGACGAGCTGGCCCAAGTGGCTGGGGAGAGGGAAGTCTGGGTCTCTCTGCTTAGGCTGCTGCCCCCGAGACCTGACCCCGGATAAGAGGAAGAAGATGGATGGATGGATGGAAACCAGGGATGAATAAAATACCATGAATTTTACCTTTTGAGTTTGGACTGTAACCAGAAACTCAATGCAACAGGTTCCCAAAGACTTATTCAAACCTTACTGACTGTGTGTAATTCTTTAAGTTCCAGTTTATATTCTAATTAGGGTTGGGCAATATTGGCAAAAAAATTAATCATGATTAATTGCGGCATTTAGCCGATAATGATTAATTTGATGATTAATCCCCTGGAGTCCCTGGACACCCTCCTAGTCACATGACCAATTTAGTGGGAAAGATTTGCTCTTTATAAAAATCTGTTCCAAATTATGTCAAAATTACAGACTTCAGGTTATACATCAATTTTTAAATTGTGTTGATACAGTAGATAAAAAAAATTACAGAACTTTTTTTTTTAATATTCATCATATTTGAAGCGGAGAAGAGCACCGACGGGACTGACCGGGGAAATATCCAGTCAGTCTGCCTGGTGGCATTAATCGTATTAATCGTCAAGTGCCAAAAAATAATCGATGAATACTTTTCTGATGATGAATTGCACGCGATACGATTATGCCCAACCCTAATTCTAATGTATGTTTTTTACACATTTACAGTACTGAGCAAAGAAAGAAAATTAACTGCAAAAAAGAAAAACAATGTTCGTGTGTTTTGAATAGTGAGTGTTTGATGTCTCACCTGAGCGCTGCTGTTTCTGCAAATTCTTTTATAGATTTGATCAATCACAATAGACACATGCTCAAAACACTGACTGAACAGGTTGAAACGCCGAGATTTGACTTGCTCAAACTCCTGGTTACACTTTCTGGATGCTCTAGTGCTGGCATCAAAAGCTGAATGAGGAAATGAAACACGTTCTTTAGTCCAGCTGCATCAAGAAGGCAAAATTAAAACACAAAAAATGTTGAAGTAGAAGATCCTCAAAATGAGAAACCAACCACTAAGAATACATTTAGTGACATACCTGCAGTCAGTCCATGTAACTTGTCCCTCACCTCCTTCATTTTCTCCAGAGCTTTTAGATTAGGTGCAGCAGTGTGATGAAGAACTCCCTCCAGGGAGGAGATTGACTCCTTCAGCTTCTCACTGTAGGCCTTTCTCTCCTTCTCATTCTCCAATATCTGTCAAACATATATTTTCACGCTAACTAAAAGTCCTGGACTGGAATATTGACAATTACACTAATATTTAAAGTCTCACCTCCAGCTCTTCCTCCAGCTCCGAGTAGTCAATGACGAGCTGTGCTTCTCTCTCATAAATGTCCAGAGTGGCTGAGGTACTTTCAGAATCTGTGCCCAGCTGCACAAACCAGACAAATCAGTTATGAGAAAAGCTGAGATTTGTTGTTGCATCTGCAACAGAGGCAGTAAAATCATTCAGAAGAGGATTTATTACCTGCACCTCACTAATTTCATTCAGGTTGCCTGACAGCAGAATGATTGGCAGGTCTTGAATTTTGCAGGCCAGTAGCATATTGTGTCTAACCATACGTTTCTGCTCCAAGGCAGTCTCTGCAGACATCACTTCCCGCTGAAGTTTCACCAACTCTCTGAAAGGAACAGAGACACAAAACAGCCGGTTTAAAAAGTTCTAACAGGTGAACTGAAACATCTACATCTGATAGTAAAAAATAACCTTAGTGCAATTTTACCAATAAAATAAACAGGTTGGATATCAGCATGTTTATTCAATTCCCTCTTCCTTTCATATGATTCACTCATACAAAATACACAAGTAAAACTTGTTATACTTTCTATGTAGCAGCGGTGAAATGATAACGTGTTTGAATTCCTTGATTCCCCAACAGCACTAGTAATAATGGAGAGAGTTTTACTTGTTAATGTCTTGAAGCTCTTGAGACTTCTGGTGCAACTCAGCTTTGGCCGAAGCCACTTGGTCTTTTTTGGTGAGCAGCTGGTTTTTCAGCTCCAGCAGCTCATTCTGACCCTCTTCCACTGCGTCCAACAGTTTCTTCTCTTCCTGCAGGGGAACAGAAACACCAGAATGACCAAACATGTCAAAAATTGCATGGTTGTTTTCAGGCAAAATATTCAAAAACACCTAATGTACTTACACTCACCGGCCACTTTATTAGGTACACCACGCTAGTAACGGGTTGGACCCCCTTTTGCCTTCAGAACTGCCTCAATTCTTCGTGGCATAGATTCAAC